CGCTAGGGCAAGGTCTTGGTTTGGGCTTGGCCCTCTGGCTCGTGACGAAAATCCAATTTGAACTGTTTGGTCACTGACTAGACTCAGCTGAATAGCCATGTAGTAGAGTATTGGACACAAATGAGCATCATCAAATCAATATTATCAATTGCTGCTGAAATACAGAGGCAATTCAAGTTCTTCTTCTTCTTTTTCTCCATCTGCTCCTTTTCCTCCTCCTCTTGTTCTCTTTAAACTCCTTTTTTCTGCTCCTCATCCTCTACCTACTTCTTCTTGTTTTTATTTTTATTTTCCTTGTTCTTTTTCTTGTTTTTCTTGTTCTTCTTCTTCATCTTGTTTTTCTTCTTGTTCTTGTTCTGGTTCTTGTTCTTCCTCTTCTACTTCTGCTTATATCTACGTTACCCACTAATTCTTTGTCACATATTACACATGCTTTTTGTTACTGTTATACCTAGTCATTAAGAAAGAAAGTATGGGCTTTAATCTGAAATGCCATAAAAATGTTCTCGATATACCATGAACCAAAAAGAACAGAAATGCTGACATTTTAAAAGAGTTGAACATCTAGAAAGATTTGCTAGTAAAAAGCATCTTGTCTCGGAAACTGGTGTTGAGCCATATCAAGCGCTACGGTGAATTGAAAAAGTAATAGCAACAATCTTGGTACATGGCAAAGAGGGGCAGACTAGCAAGAAGACGGGCACAGGAAGTAAGTGACACAGTGGGATAGCTGGCGAGAGAGTGAGTTTCTTTCAGACGTACTGTGAAGGGAGCGACCTTTTGAAAATGCTACAGGATAATAACCTTGTCGGCAAGACGCAATAAGTTTTGGTATCTTCAAGATATGTAGCTGTGTGTGAGAGAGGAAGATTGGGGGAGGTGGGGGGGGGGGGGGTGCCAGCAGGCATTCAGCCTGGCAGACTGACTGACTGACTGACTGAGAGCGTCCGTCTTGTCAATATGTTGAGTGATGATACGGCAAACTGCGTCGCTTGTGATATGGTATTTGTTCTATCTATATTCATACGCGAACAAATATGATTTTTTAATCTGTGCATGTTTTCAACTGCACAATGTAATGTTGTTATGTTTTATGTTCATGAATTTTAATTATCCACGGTGTTCGTCTAAGAAAGCAATCCGGCTTTTTAATGTCCAAGTATAGGCTGACAGCAATCTCTGCACTTTTCGCAAACAAAACGTGTTTGTTAGGCAACATATCAATTATACATATTCATAGAACCAAGAACTGCTCTTGTCTGTACAAAACAGTCAGGAGTGTGTCTTGTTTGGAGATATCGTCGTACGTGATTCCTTTTCTTCTTCTTCTGCTCTTTTTCGAGTTCACTGGCTGTAAACCCCGACAGAAAGTTTTTACTGTTCGTCAACTTCTAGATTTTAGTCTTGTTTCAGAACTCGACTTTTGCATACAAACCCATTTTGTAAATGGGGCTTATTTGTGTGCAGACTGTGAGTTCCTCGCCATTCCGACTTAGAAGGCAACACACCTAATTAGTTGCTTTTTACGACACGCTTGTAATGCAGCAGTGGGTCAATTTATTTTCTTCCAACATGGGACCCGGAACCCACAAAGGGAATTTCTAGTTGGAAAAATATCCCCTAAAGAATGATGCGTAAGCGGTAAAGAAGAGGGGGGAAAATTTAAATGTTACAAAAGAAGATTAAAGATCGCCAGATATAAAATTCCGCCCCGATGTGGATTCGAACCCAAGAATTTCAGGCTAACAGACAGGCAAGCGTGTAACCACTTGTCAACAGCGACTCAGAGAGGAACAAATATATAGTTTGGTACTAACATTGAATTTTAATCAATTTATCAAACTAGACAGTCATTATTATAAACTTGACTAGTTCATAAGTGTTCAGATCTTTTCCTAAGAATACTTGCGACTCTTTAGCGACGATCGCCGGTTCTATGTTTGTTGGCCAGTTTTACTGTGTCTGTTCAAATAATCTAACAGTCCTGCTCTTGATACTGATGTCTCACAACCCGAGTATGACCGTGCTCCCCTGATTCCATCGAAATCAATATTTGCACCAAGATTTTGTAAGGCTGTCATGCTTGCTTGGTCTACTGAGCCATCCTCCTGTACTATCCAAAGTGTTTTGTCTTTTCCATTAACTTCTATTCCACACAAGCCAAAGTGCAACAAGAACACAAGAAGGCATATCAGATATGTTCACAATCAACACAGGTGTGAGACAGGGATGTGTGCTCTTCCCGCTTTTATTTAACATCTATATAAACAGAATATCTAAAGAAGCAAGTTCTGATACAGACAACATAGACCTTTATAATCATGATGAAGTACACACATTGGGAGAAGTTATCGATTCACTTACATTAATCGAACTACTATTTGCTGACGACCAGTGCTTGTTCTACCCTGAAAAAGATAGACTGCAAGACCACATTGACAGGTTAAACTCAGCATGCAGTAAATACAACATGAAGATCAATGTAAACAAAACCGAAACAATGCAAGTTAGTAGAACCCCTGCCCCACTACACATACAGCTGAAGGGTTCTGCCCTGAATCAAGTTAGGGAGTTAAAATATCTAGGAAGTATGATCACAGAAGATGGTAGAATTGACAGAGAAATAGAAACCTGATGTCAGAAAGCAAGTGCACTTATATACCAATTGTCATCAAAATTAGGACATCCAAGCATAATTATGAGTGCAAAGAGACAGATTATTAGTAGTATATTCATTCAAACATTAAGCTACCAGTGCCAGACATGGAAACTATCTAAAGCCCATTTACGCAAAATCACCACCTGCGAGATGAGGTGCCTGAGAAAAGCAGCCAGTCTAACCATCAGAGATCGAGTGAATAATGAAACTATCAGTCAAATTGTGGAAACGACACCTTGTACTAGATTCATCGAGAAAAAGCAGATCAAGTGGTTTGGCAATCTTGTTAGAATGCCACAAGATCAAATCCATCACAAGTACTACATCTCAGAAGATCAGCTACAAGAGCAAGAGGACGGCCGCGGAAAACATGGATCGACAATATTAAAGACACTCTACGCCTACACGGCATGACAATAGCCAGTGGCAGCCAACGTGCACTGGATCGCAAATTATTCTTCCAAACGACGCTTAACGGCAAAAGTGGTTTATGATGATGATGATTAACTTCTATCATTAGCGTGTCATAGCACAAACTGTGAATCCTAATCGAAGTTTTCAAAATTTTTTTCCGGAAACCGAGTTGTTCAAATTCTGAAACCACTTTCCCCATAAGAATTCATGAAGTTGGATCACTTTGTTTTTCTCCAAGCCTAATTTATAACTTACATATTTGAACCTTTATAACAATACTTTCTGTATAACACTACCAAAACAAAAACCCAAAAAAAAAAAAAAAAAACACACAAGACAAAATTTATCGATCAAAATTTAATTAATCTTAACCTGTAAGAAACAGAGTAAATGAACTGAACTGAATTTCTACCCCACCAGGACATCACACAAGCGATAAACATCCGATGACACAAAGTGCCACCATGTGAATGAGGATCGCCGTGGAGAGGTCCCAGAAACCGCGTTCAGACATTTGGCCATATGTATGGCCTGCCTATATTGCGGCCTCTGGCAAAAGCCAGAGTGGGGCTTCCAATAACAAAAAATTACGTCCTAAAAAGGACGTAAGGATATAACAGAGTAAATTTCGTAAGTAAAAGTTTATGGGGAGTGTTAAGATGATAGATATTACTGTCTGGAAATTGAATTATCTGCAATAAAATATCAGATAAAAAAGTTTCGTCTGTCAACCATCAAGTTTATACTTTTGCGAAGGAACTCCAAGCACAGTTCACATTCTTGTAAATCAGTTGCACTCAAGTTTTGTCATGGATTCTTGAACAATGAAGAGTTTTAAAGAAATTTGTCTAGAATTCTTTGTGCTATGTGTCAAGAGCTAAACAAAACATTTTTGGAACAGTGTTTCGAGCGCCTTAAGGTTCACTACGATTGTGGCACATTCGCTAGATTTGTGGGGGGAGGGGGTGATAGGGAGCAGGAGGTTCACTGAGATTTTATTTTCTTAAATCAGATCTCCACAACGCCCCCCCCCCTTTTTCCGCCCCCCACCCCCCTTCCGCCCCCCCCCCCCCTTTCCCCAGTCGATCGTCCAGCAAGCCCAAAGGCTGAGCAGGAGCATTAGTGAAGACAAATCATAAAGAAACAACATTCATTTAATCAAGAGTCTCCTCTGAGCAGAAGTTGTTCTTTCGCTGTCACGTTATCTTGCTGAATGAAATACATAGTTTCAGCACTGGCAGTCCAGAAACCTAGATCTGTTCGAAAACCGTGACGTTTTTCACTAAATTTGTTAAAATCCAGGAAGAAGTGTTCCAGAATCGTGGTCCCACTGCAGAGAATGTATTAATTGTTGCTAGTCTCATCTAGTAAGTATTGTTCATAGCACATCATCTCAGGATTTCACAGGCAGCTTTATATACAATAAAGTAACAAATCCTTCGACACCCGAAACGGTAATGGAAGTGAAGTAGAAGAAAGTAAAGGAGGACCGTTTTCAAGACATTGGCGCATCTAGCTCATCGTGCGTCACTAATGTTATAGACCAATCGGTTATTGATGGGTGATGTTGTCATCTTTACCTACACCGACTTTACTTCCCAACTTATTTCCCAGTATCAATTTCAAGCTGGCTCTACCTGGGAGACCATCTCGGTTGTAAATATCCGCCTGGATGTCGATTCGACATTCTTCGGTCTTCCATTACACAGTTTCTTTCTTCCTAACATACTCTTGTTAATCTGATTTCTGAAATGCATAGGAAGGCATACTCTCTTGAACCCCCATGCCGTAAAAGAAACAATCTGGAGTCGAGTTAGGTCTATTAACAAATCGTTTAGCCACTGCGCTGCCTCGCTATCCAACGTTATTTATGTATACACTCGTATGTGTGCATGTATTTACAGAAAATATAGATACTTATATGTCTCTATTCATCTTCGCGTGAATATTGAGAAGGTCTGTCTAATCGCATGCGTTCACTCTTTGGCAGGAATCGATCCGAGATACTCCGTGACATGTCCAGACTGTCGCTTGACGTGGATTTTTCGGCCATCGAGTCCGAGGAACCTGTCTTCCTCCGTGTGTTCAGATCATGATAATATTGGTGTATGCTCGGACGGTCTACCCTCACACCTTCTACGAACAGCTGAATCTGGTCAGTTGAGTACGATTTCGCCCGAGTTCCCAGTTCGATTTTCTCACGGATGCTCAGATCGCTGCCGGAGGTATTGCTTCCAGGGCTGCTAAGATCACTGCTGAAAGAGCTTCTTTCTCGACTGCTTAGATCGGTACTGGATGAACTTTTGCGGCCATCTTCGATCTCCACAAACGAAAAATTTGTCTGAACTTGCATTGGGGAAATAGATCTAGATGAGGGTGATAGTGAAGACTGGCTAGAAGGGCGCTCTCTTGTAATGATGTCCTGCACTGCGTCTGTATTTCCTACGTCCTGCGCTTGCTGCTGCAAGGCCATGTCATTGTCAAGCACAAAATGAGTTGTCACTTTACTTTCAAACTTATTTGCTGAACTAATTTCTTGGTTACTCGAAGAAGATAATATGGAACTGTCTAATGATAGCATAGACAATTGTTTGTCTTTATTGTCGTTTTCATTTGTAAGAATGTTCTGGGATGAGTATAAAAACAGGTCTTCTTTCTGGTTGTCGGCAAGTGCCAGTGATGTTTTATCTTTCCCGGATATTGTCAAGCTCCCCAAGTCAGCAGTCAATTTCATGTTGCTTTCAAGAGTTCCACATTGCAGCATGTCTTGGTCAACTATTTCTTGCAGTTGCTGTTTTTGAGCGTGTGCTGTCTGTTCACAGCTAAGCAGTTGCCGATTTTGTTCTTCCTGTGGCCGCTCCAGTTGCTCATTCCCTTGTTGGAAATGTGTATAATGGTCTTCGACGTACACGGTATGTTTCTCACTAACATACTCTTGTGAACCTGATTTCTGGAATGCATAGGAAGGTACACTTTCTTGAACCTCCATGCCGTAATAGAAACATTCTTGAGTCGAGTTCAGTCCACTAGCCGTTGGTAGATTATAGCCAGATCTGGCAAGTACTTCGCTTGGATGTCTGTCAGTTCGAATCTGTCCGTTTACCTAAATAAAAAGAATAGTATTCAATATGAGTTAATGTTAATATTATTTAGATCATGCAAACTTCCACTGTGGGTTTTGGGACATCATTCTGGGAAAGCAATAATGGTCCTGGGTCCACTAGCAAACATGTCGTAAAAGGAGACTAATAGGGGTTTCCTGAAAAATTATATGTGGGCTGAAAGGTGCAGACATCGCAGCCTAGCTGTAAACCACAACACATCGTGCTACCTGCCCTTTCAGTGTCGAACGTAAAAGAAAAAAAATCATACAAAATAATTTATTAAACATAAAAGTTTTAAGCATGAGTTATATGAATTAAAATGTCTTCAGAAGTAAAACCATTTAAAGTGTTTTAAATGTCTGCAACAGCACGTTCTCTTTAAACCTTCCTATCTATTAAAACTTAAATATCCAGAACAGCAAGACTGCATTAAACCTTCACATCTTTTGAAATGTGTTCATATCCGCAACAGTACGACCTTATGAAACCTTCATATCCATTGACATGTTTAAATATCTGCCACAGCACAACTTCATCAAACCTTCCTAGCTATTGAAATAATTAAATATCTGCAACAGCACAACCTTATTAAACCTTTCTAGCTATCGAAATAATTTAATATCTGCAACAGTACAGCCTCATTAAACCTTCCTAGCTATTGAAATAATTTAATATCTGCAACAGCACAGCCTCATTAACCCTTCCTAGCTATTGACATTGTCAAAGATTCGCAACAGCACAACCTCATTAAACCTTCCTAGCTATCGAAATAATTTAATATCTGCAACAGCACAGCCTCATTAACCCTTCCTAGCTATCGAAATAATTTAATATCTGCAACAGCACAGCCTCATTAACCCTTCCTAGCTATTGACATTGTCAAAGATTCGCAACAGCACAACCTCATTAAACCTTCCTAGTCATTGGAATGGTTAAATATCTGCAACAGCACAACCTCATTAAACCTTCCTAGCTATTGAAATGGTTAAATATCTGCAACAGCACAATCTCACTCCTCGCCATAGTTAGACGCTCGATCGCCTTCAAATACGAATGTCGTGGATTCAAATCCGAACGTTAGGGACTTTTTTCAACAAAACAATAACCTCGGCTCCCAGGCTGATTCAATCTTAAATGGGTACTAGGTAAAATCCTGGAAGAAAGGCGGCCGGCATGATGCTGACCATGCTGAACACATCAGCCACCGAGTGCCGATTGGTCTATAAAATATATGTCCAGCCCTATTTCCCCAAAACGTTTGAAGGCGTGAAAGGAGGGCCTGTACTTTAGCTTGTACGATCTCATTAAAAGTCCCTTACTATTTGCGTGTCTTGAATCTGAGAACGTTTCTAGACTAAGAGAGTCGTAGATGCTAGCTCGCATGTCTGCCCGCCCAGGGGTCGTATATTTGAGTAAGCGCGAATAGTTTTTAATGACTAGAGATCCCAAATAAATATTGGCTAAAGACGGTTTTAACACATACAAAATTGTCAGAAAAGTAAAATTGTCCGATTGATGGTGTGAATTAAAAACCCTCAACTTTACTCTTTTTTTGTAAAGGGGAATGGGAGAATCTTTGAGGTAAATTACTAGTTATGCTATGATTAGTGAAACATGCAAATGAAGATGGAAAACAAATTATTTGTCTGTTCACTGAGAAATCCCTATTGTTAAAGCTAGTTGCGTAACCTTTACAGGACTTTGCAGAACCAAACTCAGCATTTATTTTTTATTTTTTTTTGGATGTTGTGGTTTTTCTAAGCAAGTTTACGTCCAGTACTTTGCCACTGCCTCCTGGACGGTCGGCTTCTTGATACCACTGTCGAAACCAACGGAAGGCCCTCAGCTAGGATTGAACCCGGCACACCGGCATTACGAAGCGCGTTCGCAACGCCTAAGCCACAGACACCGACTCCTTTGTTTAAACCCAGCAAACTCTGCAGCATTATATGTTACTGTTATGTAACAGGTGTTGGCAATTTTGTAGTAGTCTTGTGTCCACGTAATGCACATAAGAAAAAATTATTCAGCGGACTCAGTTAAGTTACCATAATTTTTAATAACGAGACAGGAATCATAATTTCTAATTCTCAGTCAGTTTACGGAATGTTCTTTTTCTTCTTCTTCTTCGCGTTCACCGGCTGTAAACTCCGGCGGAAGGTTCTGGTTGTTTAACCACCTCTGTACCTTAGACCTGTTCTAGAACCTGAGTGTTGCTTGAACATCAGTTTTACAGATCTAACCTATTGTATGCAGACTGTTGGTTCCTTGCCTCTGAGACAGAAGCACTCCGACTTCGAAGGAAGCTCCCAGTTAGTTGACTCTCACATCATGTTTGTTGGGGAACTGATTACCTTTTCTTGTCCCCCCCCCCCCCCCAACTATGGGGCCCTAGAACCTACACAGGGAACGGAATGTTCAAAATTGACAACTGTTGCATGGGCACCACAGGGACTCTCATGTGTATTCTGCATAGCACTTGTAGGAGTACGATGGAACGAACGATCAGATTGTGTGTCTACCAATACGATAGCTTTATGAAAGCATACATTTTACAAGGGAGACTCTAACAGCCATTTATCAACGAACGACAGTAAAAGTTTCAATGTTATATTTTTATGGTTCAAAACTCGTACACTTCCACAAAAATCTCCACAACTCCTGATAATGACTAATAGCGTGTGTAGCCCTAAAAATAGAATGTACAGTAATTGACACACGTGAGGGGATTATTTGAAAGTCAATTCACATATGCAGCATGCCTGCTGATTATTTTGATAACATATCCAGCATACAAGGAAAAACCTGCAACTCATTGGAGGCAAATGCTAGAGGTGAGAACCACCTGAGTGTGAAGCTATGCCTGTAATCTGATGTTTTGAAATGTTCCCGTTACTCAGATAACTAAGAGCATGATGACTGTTCGCTTTGAATTACTGTCTTTTTTTTAAATATCTCAACAACAACTACATCCCCCCCTTTCCACCGCCATTTTTTTCGCACCCCTCCCTCCTCCCCAGGTAAATTTTAAAACAAGATGTTTGTTTACATTAACACAAGTTCCTTACAAGGACATGATTATTACCGGTTTGTATGCAAAATTGCCAAATTGTAAAAATTACATCTAATGGTTATTGAGTTACAGATTTTTAAGTTGGGGAGGACTTCTTGAAAGATTACAGATGAAATAATCTTTGCGAATTAGGAATTCAATGTGGATCCGTCAAGAAAGGACGCATAGAAGACATTGGCTGCTGTCTACGGAACATCTACGGGTACATTCGGCATGCTAAGATGTCGGTTCGTAAACTGGCAATCAATACATACAACAGCTCAAAGAAATAAAAAAAAATAGTATTTACAATATGTATATGCCTCTTATTAGATTTTAATGGATCAATTACTGTACTTCAGCTCCATCATCAATTCATTAAAACCGCCTCTACGCCATGCTTGGTTGGTGTGCCGTGTGTTGCAGATGCCTGATATTTAAGCAAGCAGTTTCGTCGAAAGTAGAGAAGGTTTGCCTAATACATAAAGACCATAGCATGCGACAACTGTACTAAAAATATCGGTCCGAGCTTGGGTCGTATACTTGATGCACCTTAAGGCATGAAATGGGCTATTTAAGTTTGTTGTTGTTTACGTACAGATTCGTTTCAGATTCTCACTCTTAGCCTTATCTTTTAGTAATAGTTAGTTTTATTAGGCTGCCATGAAAATTGGGGAGAACAGTGTTGCAGACAGCGGTCTGGAATCGGGAAGGGGTTGCAGCCTAGGGTTTAGAATACTAATCTCTTATGTTGTGACATACGAGTTCTAAAAAAGGGTATTCGTCGCTCAGGTGCGAATTTGTTTAGGGACCATGGTCTGTAGGCAGCTGGCTATTGATTAGCTAAGCAGTCTTTATATCTCACACAATGGAACTGTTAAAGTTGGCTCAAGCAGAGTTAAAGACTCCTTTTACAAGGTATAAAGCTGAAAGGGTCTAATTCGTAGCACCTAGTGTACCCCATTTAGCTTTCTCTCTCTCTCTCTCTCTCTCTCTCTCTCTCTCTCTCTCTCTCTCTCTCTCTCTCTCTCTCTCTCTCTCTCTCTCTCTGCAGAACGACTGCGTACCACAAATCACCAATCCCAGAGCTTCATTGACGATCCCTCGGGATCTCTGTAAAGACTGCACCCGTCAGCCGAACAAAGCGACCATGAAACAAACGCAGGACTTCACTACAGAGACTATATCTCAGCGTATACCAGCGGTTCACAACCTGTGGGTGGCGACCCTTTTGTGGTCGAACAACCCTTTCACAGGAGTAGCCGAAAACTATCGGAAAACACATATGTACTGAAGTTATGAAGTAGCAAGAGAAATAACTGTATGGTTGGGGGTCACCACAACACGAGGAACTGTATTAAAGGCCTGCTGCATTAGGAAAGTTGAGAGCCATTTGTGTATACAGGCATATTTATTTCTAGCCTTATGGTAGAATTTTTTTTTTTTTCATAGACAATAGATAGTAGATGCTAAAGTTCGTTAGTTGCATATCTTTACCGCACATTGCAGAACAAACCCCAGCTTTTCTTGCTTGCTGTGTGTGATTTATCATCATCATGTAGTAGGTATTTTGCAGAACGTCGCTCTCATCACAGTCTGCCTGAAAGAAACTCGGTCTCTCGCCAGTTCTCCCGCCGCATGTACTTCCATACTCAAGGAGTCACTTATTTCCTATGCCCATCTTCGTGTCGATCGGCCCCTGCCCCTCCTACCTGGTATCAAGCTTTCTGCTATATTTGTTTTTCCAATCCGTCGTGGCGCTTAATATGACCAAAATATTTTCGCTTCCGAGGCAGGATGCTGTTTGTTAGCCAATCTTTCTTGGTGTTCAGATCTTTCAAAATGTCAGTATTTCTCCTCTTCTTTTTCCAAGATATTCTGAGAATCTTTCTATAGCATTTTAGCTCAAAAGCCACCATTCTCTTTCTTAAGGACTGGGAGATAGTCCACGACTCAAAATTCTAATTTTGATCTACTTGCTGGTGCTTATCCATAGACTTTTAAGGCTGGTTAGTCTTGTGTGTGATTTCACTAGGTAATTGAACATGAATACTTTGCGATTGTACTAAACGGTCGGCTGCCGATGTCATTGTCAAAACCCGTTCAAGGTGTGATGCCTATAATCAAACACAAGGTGGATATGTCTTTCCGTCTGGTTTATAACAGATATCAAACACCATGGATTGAGTCGTATGTCCTTTGCACGAGGCTCTAAACCAGTTTGAGCATTTCTTTGCTGTTTGTGAGTTTAGCAAGCAACTCAACTTTAGATACGTCGTTACTCTTTGGCAAATTTCGTTGTTTATATCATGAGCGAAATCAATGCAAAGCCGTCTGCTGCCAGTCGAGAGTATAGATTTTGCTTTCATTACAAACCAGGGTGTTGCATAAAGTCCGAACTCAGTAGCTTGGTCGACGACCCCTCGGGATCTCGATAAAAACTACTCGTAAGCTGAATAACAGAATCCGTGAAACGAACCAATGACCTTCAGAGTATGTGGCAAACAAACAATGAAATGTTGTTATAGGCTAGAATTCCCATTGATGCCGGATTTTTTTTTTTTTTTCTAATTTGGTTCCCAGATGGACTCATTGTAAAAGGGAGTGTCAGAGAATTCTTGGAAATTAAATTGCGGTCAACAAAATATTAGGGAGCAATGGTAGGTCGCATTGTGACTAAAGACTTTCCTGTCCGCTGAAGGTTTTGGGTTCAAATCCAAGTGGAGAGGGATTTCTGTAGTTGAACTGGAGCTCTCAGGTCGACCCAGTCAAGAATGGGTGCGTGGAAATATTCTAAGAAGTAAAGCGACCTTCAGACTTTTTACTCAATCAGCCACTGAGTGTCGATTGATCTGTAGGAAACTTGTTTCTAAGATGTATGCCTGATATACAAATGGCACATGGAGAGTACTTTACATGGCAATGGTCAAATCACCCGCTGAGAAGAGATTGAATTTTAAAAAAAATAGCCGGACTTTTACATTTAATTATCCACACACACAAAATTACTCAAGATGTAGTATCCTTGTCATCATCATCATCATTATCATCGTCATCAACATATTGCTCATCATCTTTAACATCGTTGTCATAGTGTTGTATCGTTTTCAAATCATATAGGGCTCGCGATATATCACCCGAAGACGTTCTATCTTGCTCAATCTTTCTGATTTTTTTTTATATCATGGGTGGATTCTAGTCTAACACATTCTCTCTCTCTCTCTCTCTCTCTCTCTCTCTCTCTCTCTCTCTCTCTCTCTCTCTCTCTCTTTCTCTCTCTCTCTCTCTCGGTCTTTCTCTCTCTCTTTCTCTCTCTCTCTTTCTCTCTCTCTCTCTCTCTCTCCCTCTCTCTCTCTCTCTCTCTCTCTCTCTCTCTCTCTCTCTCTCTCTATGCAGCATTCTTCAGAAGGTTTCTCTTGGGCGTTGTTATTTCCTCAGTTCACATGTTTCCGATCTCAAGCCTCTTTGGTGATTCTCTTTCGTTTCTCCTCATTACGTACTAGATATATCACCATCTTCTTAGTCTCTTAACTTTTGGTAGCAACAGATGTCCAGCACGCAATATTAGAACATAACGATCGAACAATATAGAATAAAAGATGTAAACCTGAAAAGACCTTTAACAAAATGTTCATTTGGGGCAACAAGGATTAATTAGACACTAACCTTATCCAACTTTGGTGTTGTCAGTGCAGACCTAATGGACATCGTGTTGGTATCGCATGAATGTGCTCTTTCTTTTGGTCGGTGAGATGCACAGAACACGCTGGGGTCGTCCGCTTCGTTGGGGTTGTGGTGAAAGTTTTTCAAGTTCAAGGTTGTCCCGCAGCTTACACAAGTAAAACATCTTTTATGGTAGACGGCGTCTTTTATGGGACCCATTCGTTCCATCGGATACACTTTTGTGTTACATCGAATACAGTCATCTTTGTTTCGGGGCTTTGGGTAGACCTCTTTCTGCATGGATGATAATGTTTAGGAATTGAAATCTTTACACCCTGTTTCTGCATGGCTTATAACATACATAAAATATAATGCAGTGGTTAAATAACCTTTCAAAGTGTTAGTAGAACCCTGTATAAGTATATAAATGATAGATTTCACATAGGGTGCAGAGACTGGTTTCTTTCCTCGCATCCCCAGTCTTAAATCCGACAAATAAGCTTCTTATATCAGTCAGATGAGATGAAGTGGTTTTGCGCCTAGGCTTTTTTTTTTTTTTTATAACTCATTGTTGTTGGCACCTTTCCTTCTTTGCAGACGACCATTTTACATTGTGCTTTAAGGGAGGCACAGCCCGTGGCCTAGCCCGCTCGCGTTCAGAAATATCTTCCACAATTAATGCATGTAATTCCAAGATCACTGTTGCCATTTCGTATATTTAATGCACTTCTCCTCAGACGCACGGCACCTCCATGTAGCACAGTCCACTGAGTTTTTTTCTCACGAATCTATTACAATGCCTGCAGGTCCCACAGGCACACATCTTTATAGTAGAGGCCGACCTTGACTTCTTCAATTCATCTTTAATTCACAACAGTGAATGTCCTCGGGGACTTTCAGTACACATAAGTGTCTCTGAACGATGAAATTATAATGCAGGTTTAACTTGAAGATCAGATAAATTGTTACTAGTCTTTCGAAAGTAGCATCTCTTTAAGTTTGTGAATATGAATGCAACTCGTGTTTTATCTAACTTAATCTAAACATGAACTAATACGGAAGAAACCGGCTAACCCATTTTGTAATTGAGGTGTAGGAAACTTCCTATCCGTGTAACGCAAAATCGTTTGATCTGACCCGTGGCTAATTAATATTTGATCAGGCTACTTTTTAAATTGATAATTTACACAGCCAGTCAGTTAGCAATATTTAGTTTATTAAAAGAACTATCTTGGTACAATATAAGCTTCAAAGTAGGCAAATATTTAAATTAACAGCTTCTTATTTTAACAGTTTCTTAAATTAACAGCTTCTTATATTAACAGCTTCTTATATTAGAAGCTTCTTATATTAACAGCTTCTTCTGTTAACAGCTTCTTATATTAACAGCTTCTTATATTAACAGCTTCTTATATTAACAACTTCTTATATTAACAGCTTCTCATATTAACAGCTTCTTCTGTTAACATGTCTTATATTAGTAGCTTCTTATATTAACAGCTTCTTTTGTTAACAGCTTCTTATATTAACAGCTTCTTATATTAACAACTTCTTATATTAACAGCTTCTTCTGTTAACAGCTTCTTATATTAACAGCTTCTTATATTAACAGCTTCTTATATTAACAGCTTCTTATATTAACAGCTTCTTACCATACTATTTTTCTGACTGTCATTTCGTCTCAACAGCACCTCAGGCTCATTGGAAACAAATTGTTCCTTGATCTTTGTCTCGCTCAACGTGTAACTTGAACCTGAAGATGTTGGTTCCTTTCCCCTCGGGGAACTCTTAATTTGCAAGGAGGGGTTCAGAGTTGTTGGTAAATAGTCTGAAAGAGCTTTTGGGCGTATGTCGAGTGAACCATGACCAATGGTGTCTGATGAATCCTCACGCCATTGTGCTTCTTTGACCGACTCTGGCACTTTATCGCTGATGTTTTCATTTCCATGTGTGCTATAATCTTTAACGCTTACAGCTTGGGTGGAACTGTTTTTATTTACATAATAAGTACCGTTGTCGTTAATGGGTTGCTGGCTTGAAGGAATGATGGTTTGTTCTTGTAGCTGCTGATCCAGTTGGTAGTTACTGTTTTGCAACTGTTGATCCTGTTGATGGTGACTGCCTTGCAACAACTGATCCTGTTGGTTGTGTGTGTTCTGCAGCAGTGTATCTTGTTGATGGTGGTGACTTTGCAGCAGTTGATTCTGTTGCTGAAGACTGTTTGCCAACACTTGGTCCTGTTGCGGAAGACTATTTTCTTGCAGTTGATCATGTTGCTGGTAATTGTTTTGCACCATCTGATCCTGTTGTTGTAGGTTGTTCTGAAGCTGCTGACCCTGCTGATTAAACCAGATTTGCTCTGGCTGGTAGCCATCATTTACAAGGCCTAGGGACACCGGCTGAGAAGAGGCGTTGGCTGTAGAAAACAACTGATTCGTTATGTCCACCGTGTTTGTCGTCAGTATGTTTGCTTGGTTAGGAGCACTGTTCTGAAGAAACTGTGGGTTAGCTACTACATATCCGGTTACAGTCACGGGGCTTAGATTGGATGCGGACTGAAACATAGCATTGCTTGGAGGCCAGAATGCCTGTTGTGTTTGAAAGTTTTCGGGAAATGCGAGTGGCCTTTGATTGAAATTGTGTTGCGAAGCAAACACTGGGGAGTTATGGAGGGCATTGAAAGGATACATAGTAGGTACCTGCTGCTGGTAATTGCTGGGAGTTCCGAGGTTTTGTGTTGTTTCACAGACCCACATATATCTGACGGTAGGGGCAGCATTCAAGGGAACATTCGCTTGCTGAAGGTTTTTGAAATCACTCATTGTAAAATGATCAACAGTGAATCAAAACAATCGAGAGTAAACCAACAAACTGGTAGAATGTCGAAATGTCTTGCTGAAAAGACAGAACATGCAGCGATCACACTTTAGTTTAGTTTATAAACAGTATCGTTTTTCTAAAGCAATAATGTTACTGTCAGATTTGGTCCTTTTCAACATATCATAAAAGAGAACACGTCACAAGGGGATTTGAAGGGATGAGAAGGGTGTTTTTAATGTTTGCAGTTTTTTTTTTTTTTTGTTGAGAGAAAACTAAAGAGGTTCAGACATCTTATTAGAATGAAACTCGATCTTTATTTATATTTATTTTGTCCTAGCCCTTGTAATGAGAACGGTTGAAGAGAGAAGGTAGGTGTAGTTTCCTAAATATTGCATTACGCCTAGCTTTAAATACTATCACACTGCACCTTTTTTTTTTTAAAGTATCCATTGGAATTCGTCCAGCCATCTTTCCGTCAGTTGTCCATCTGTCCTTATCCCAGTTATCTGCCCCCCCTTCCCATGACAAAAAAAAAATATTCGATAAAATAGTTCGCTGGTGCTGCCCTTACGGTTTCTCTTAGTATTTGAGAAAACCTCAATAATAACACCCCCCCCCCCCCTTCACCCCCCCCCCCCCCCCCACATTATCCCCGCTCCCCGCCCACGTCTTTTTTTAGTACACGCCCAGTTATATCAAGAGGAGGGGCCAATAAAATTGTTACGGGCAAAAACAACAATAAACGAACACGGATACGACACAAGAAGGATCACATCTAATCTTAGAATGCACGCTTAGGTTTCCCTTATAACCATGCTTAATGGAAAGTGTGGGTTAGTTATATCAGTGCTCTTCAACTTGTGTGACGCTGTCCGTTGGTGGGCCGTAGAAATGTGTAGGTGCGTCGCCAAAAATGTTTCTAATCATATTAGTGCTTAAGGGTGAGAATCGAACAGGTACAAGTTAGAAGCAACATAGCTTATGGACTAACAGAATGTTGGTCTTTCCCCCCCCCCCCCTTCCCCCCTTCCCCCAACCCCACTTAATTTGTGCGGAACCTTTCCCTTCTCCCATGCCAGTAAAAAAAATTTTAAAAAACGCCAATCAAAGCAGAAGCTGGTGTCACATTAGCTGACAACTGTAATTTTGTGACGCAGACTGCTAACCAAAAAATGTCCTTTTGTTTGGTTAGCTGTCAGGTGGGCTGCAAAACAATGTCCCCTTTTTTTTTAGTGTTTGGCCAGGTTGAGAAACACTGGGCTAGATTAACAAACTTCCACTTCGGTCTAGACAAGAAACAATATTTCAGGCAATTATGGCAGCCGCTTATTGACTTATGCAAGCACGGTTGCCTCTCTGTAAGGTGGTTATAGGTTCTTCTGCTTCCTCTTCGCGTTCACCAGCTGTAAACTTTGGTGGAAAATTCAAGTTGTTTATACACTTCTGTCCATAAGGCAATGGCAAACTACTGGGCGTAAATTTGCCTTAAAAACCCACACAACAACCAGGGGCTGTTGGGGTTGGTTCTGCAACGTCCTGTAAAGGACACGCAATTAACCATTTACTTCTGGACTTAAGTCTTGTACTAGAATCTTTTTTTTTTTTTTTTTTTTTGCATGCACAACAAACAATGAAACTTTTGCTTCGTGGTACACATCTGCGAATTAAAATATTCCTAATTATTTGACTTTTTTTACGACATGCTTATTAGGAGGCAGTGGGTCTGCACCCCCCCCCCCCCCCACCGCAATGATACCCCTGAACCCACACAGGGAATCAGCTAATCAATACACATAAATAAATTGATATACAATGGTACATCGGGTCACCAATTCGTTCTTCGACTCCGTTCGCAAAATGAATGAATCACGAGCCGAAACATTTTTTCCCACTTATAACTAATTTGTTTGCTCATTTATGTCAAAGAAGTTGTTGTGTTTTTTTTTTTTTTCTCTTGTTTATATCCTGGGATGTGCTCGGTGGTTCATTACTACTCGTGTGACCCCTGCTTCGTTAGCATATTCACTCTTTTAGACCCATCAGTTGCCGTAGAAATTAGGCTTTTTTTTTTTTTTTTACACTACTGTCAGTAACGATGTACACCCTCTTGGTAGCCATAGTGAGACAACATACACACACACATACAAAACACCCACTTTGCATCAGGAACAACGCGATGACAATAGAACGCAAATCTGAGTACAACTGATGCTGTTCGTTAGTCGAAAACATAGAGCCACAGCCCGTTTGTGGGAGCTGGGAGCCGAGGCAATGTTCGCGGGTCAAGTTAAAATTTGCTCGGATTTCTGTTCGTGGGCCGATTTATTCATGACTAGAGACGTTCGTAACCCGAGCTATCACTGTAATTAACAATCACATTAAAGTTTGAAATCATTTATGCTGAATATAATCAACATATCATTCCCCGGACTATATACCGTCTGAAACTTCTTCTTCATCAGCATTCCGAGCCATGAGGTTCATTGCTGCTGATATCATCCACCTCGACTCATCTCTCTGGTTTGCCTTCTCTTTCCATTTGGTAACACCAAGTGTTTGCATGTCTCTCTGGGAATTATCTCTCCATCATCTTCTTGGTCTGCCTCGTTATCTACGACCATTCATCTCCCTTCTGATACCGTCTGAAACAGTAGTCAGATTTGCAACAGTTTAAGGAAAAAAGATAATTATGATAAATAATGCACCACGAAGCTAAGTAAACAATACCAGTCCCAAGTCCAAGAACAACACGAACTTCGCCAGCTCGACTGCACAACTGGATTCCACGTTTGCCAGTGCGTTAACTGTTGCACGTCCCAGAATATCAGATATTTATGAGACTAACCGGCGCGATGCAAGTTGATTTACCACGTTGAAATAACATACAAGCTTGCTGAACTTGTTCTCACTGCATAGGGCTTAAGTGTTAGAAGCCACAACAAAACTTAAATAGATTACATACACTCAGTTTATCACTCTGAATGGAGAATAAAAAGTCCATGACAATCGGGTTGGTTAAGTTGTTGCACATAGCAGAAGCACTTATCTTCTAGGAAAATGGGTTGGGGTCTTGATAAGTCAGTGGAATGTTTATGGGCTCTTTTGTTCACATAAATAGACCATCTGTTAGTGATGGCGTAAATTCTCTATTGCAGGATGACTTATTTGCAAATCTTTCTATGTTTGTATGTACAAGTATGTATGTGTGTATGTATGTGAGTAGGTTAGCCTATGTAGATAGGTGTGTAGGTACTTTGTATGTTTGTATGTGTGTTTGTGTATGTATACATGAATAGATGTTTGTAGTGTGTGTTTGTGTATTTGTATGTGTGTGTAATGTATGTATAAGAATGTGTGTCTGCCTGTCTGCGTGTGTGTTTGTAGAACAAGTCAACATAACTTATAGATGGCTAAGGTTAACATAGAACCATGGCATTAAAAAAAAAAGAGAGGAAAGAGATGGACAGAATCAAGTAAATGTGGGCTGTGAGTTCTGATGATTTATTCGTAGATAAAGACATTCGTCGTAACGTTCGGTTATTTGTGTGCGCACCTTTTGCATCCTTCAGCTGAGCTTTCTAGTCACAGTTTGTATTGTATTTAGTATGCTTTATAACGGGTGATTTTCAGTCGTATGTCATGTCTTATAATTAGGTCCAAAAATCCATAGGGCAAAGACAAAGGTAATGAGAATAAGCTAGGCATATAGTATTGTGGTTTCTCTTAATTGTATCCCACTCCAAGATGTGGAGTCGTACAACTATTTGGGCAGTAATGTAGAGAACGTTCAGGGAACTGATAGAGATTAAAATATGAATACAAAAGGCAAAAGGAGCTGTTATAGCACTGGGGAATTTCTCGAAGTCAAAAGAAATCAAAACTAATACTAAACTACAAACGTTTAATTATAATGTCAAATCAGTGGAGCCGGGACATGGAGAACAACTAAAACAATTACTAAAAAAAAAAAAATATATTCATTAACTGGTGCCTGAGCAGAATATAGGGAAGTAAATTGTGTGATAGAATCACTAATGTGCAGCTTTTGGGGAGAACCAAACGAGTTCCAGCTGACCAAGAGGTGAAGAAAAGAAGCTGGCGTTGGATATGACACACGCTGAGCAAACCTGAGAACAATATAACCAGAATGTCTCTGCACTGAAACCCACCAGACAGGAAATAAAGGCAAACCACACCAAAAAACATGGGAAAAGGCAATAGAGTGTGTAGTTAAACAGATGGGGAGGACATGGAGTGAACTGCGTGCATTAGCGAAGGATAGAACTTGGCGTGAGTTAGCTAACACCTGTGCTCTATTGGGGGATAGAAGGCAGAATTAGAGGACGAATTGATAAACGGGACAGTCAAAGGCTTGAGAAATCAAACTGGGAAAAGTGCAAGTTCAAATCCTACCCAGGAGCCGTCACAGTGTAAAGGTTTGACGTTCGCTTGTTAGACGCTCGCTAAGCCTTTTTTTTTTTTTTTTACACTTTGACTAAATGACTCTGTTATTCCTTTTTTTTTTGGGGGGGAGGGGGGGGGGGCATTAGTCAAAAAATGTGAAGGAGGTGAACCTAGCTGGATTTACTGATAGACTGGTTAGAGTCAAAGAGAAATCCAACCTGAAAAAGCAAAAGTTCAGATCGTATGTGACAGCCGCGATAGACTAGGGTCAGGACGTTCCATTGTCGACCCCCCAGGTTCTATGGTTCATATTCTCGTCATCAAGGCGAACATTGTTTCTGTCCCCAAAAGTAACCTCGGCTCCCAGTTCGACACTCTAAAATAAGTGCCAGGTAAAGTCATGGGAAGTAAATGCAGCCTGCGTACTCTGGACCACATCATCTATCGAGTGCCTGTTGGTCTATACAAACATTGGTCTGGATCAAAGTTTACTAGATATAGTTAAAGCGTGGGGGGGGGGTGGAGAGAGTGAGAGAGAGAGAGAGTGTGTGAGAGAGAGAGAGAGAGAGAGAGAGAGAGAGAGAGAGAGAGAGAGAGA